AACAGCAAAAACACGTGTGAGGAAGGCTGCACTTGATGGACGCAAGTCACTTTATAGCTATGTTACTATATAGTGCCCCCCCATTGTAAGTAGTCAAAGTATTTTAGAATTGTTTGATTTATCTGAGGTCCTCTCTGCCCTCTCCCCACAGGAGAGCTGTGGTGCAGTGTTAGCTCATTGACTGAGAGCACCAGCCATCTCCTAAACCTAAACCAATAAGCTAAGCCATTCACCACCAGGCTTATCTCAGACAAAGGACCAAATCAGTGAACTCTGAGAACAGGCAAAAGCTCAGAGAAACTCAATAATTTGCCCTTCAGTTAATCCCTTCTCAAGTCTCAAATTACTTTTGCTCACTTGCGACATTACAGAGTGAACCTGTACAATTTGCATATCGGACTGATCCCACCCATAACGGCAGTCCAGAGACAAAACGCCGGGGAGTTCCCTTTGTATGATATTTACCGCAACCCAGGACAATCGTTTCAGCCATTGTTGGGCCTTGGCAGTGAGGTGTAGCTGATACCCCTCTGGGCAAAGTAAGCATGGGGTCCATGTCTAAGGAGATCAATCGTAAGCAAATGCATTAAATCAAAAACAGAGAATATGACTGCTTACAATGTGGCATTGCAGTGGTTGTGGTGTTTGGAAATGTTCGTTTAAAAGCTGGGATTGCCCAGTGCAAAGTAATAATTATAAAGTTTCGTAATGTGCTGTGAGCATGACTACATACATATTTATATATATATATATATCACTGTGTCACTTATGGGAATTTGTGTCCTAAGGAGTATGTCTGAACAATACAACTGACAGGTGCGCCTTTAAACTACAGTAAAGTATGTTTTAATTACATATGGAACACGTTCTAGATAACTGTTGCTAGCTCATTTCAAGTACAGCTAGCGTCACTGTATTACTTCTGTTAGGAAACACTTTTGCATAGTTACTTTTTGAACCTCACTGTTACACTGCTCATTAAAGCGCATTCCGGTTCATACATTAAGAAGGATACTGATGGAAAAGTGAACCAATTTTGTTTGAAAATCATTCATTCTACAGAGATGTATTTGGTTGCTTATACACCCCTAGAGATCCTGCATTTTCCTTTTAAATCTTATTAAGCATTATTGAAGATACACTCTTACCATTACAATACACCAAGCATATCAAACTCAAAGGCTAACATGGGCCAAATAAACAAGGTTCAAGTTTATGTGGGCAGCAAAAAAAAAGAAAAGTTTGGGGGGGCGGGGCCGGACCGCCGAGCTGGACGGTCGCACATGAGTTCAGCTCCTGCAATACACCCACAAATATGCTTAAAAATTATGGAAAATGACCCAACTACTGACCGGCAGCAAGGGTCTTCAGAACCACGAAGTTACCGGATCCTGGGAGAGGCTGGCTACCGGAGCTACAGTCCCCAGGAGGTGAAGCCCGCAACGAATAAGTTGGGGCCTACGCCGGCGGTGAGAGGGACAGACGGCCGCTGCCCCACTATCCCGCCTAATGGTACGAAGCCGGAGATCAAGACCCGGGCGGTCCTGGCCCTGTCCCCCCCCCCTCTGGACCGGCAGGGGTGATCCCGGTCCTCACCCAGAGGCTACACATCCAGGGTCCAGAGATACTACCATCCCGCTCAAAGGCCTGAACACGACATCCAAGATGGCGGATGCCATGTGCGCTGGGGCCGGGGAGAGAGAGTGCACCCTCGCAGGGAGTGGAGCAACAAACTGGGTCTCTGGACAAGAGCCCAAGGGGCCAGAAGAACTCAAGCTCCTTACACTAGACACCGCAACCCCACAAGCGACTACTTACCAGCCCACTACACGGAACTCGCCACAGGCGAACAGCGGAGGAGGCCGAGCCCAAGCCATAAGGGCAGCGGAACCAGCTCACACTGCACCCGACCTTCCACCGCCAGAGACTGCCAACCTCGCAACAGACCAAGGAACTCCCACAGCAAGGCCGACAACATTCATCGGCGGCCATAACAGCGGTCTCATCCAGCAGCCAACTGTATCACACAGTACCCAAACATCCGTCCTGACAGGCGCTCACCTCGGGAAGTCCAGAAGAGGTACCCAAGGCCAGCCGGAAAAGCAGCCCAAAAGATACCAACGAGCAACACAGCAACACTCCCGGAGGGGCGCTGCTCGAACCCCCGCATTAGAGAACACTCGTTCCCGGCCGCACGGACCCGCCGAGCCGAAAAGCCCTGGAACGCAAACCAACCTAAGAACTTTATTCCAGCCAGGCACCTAAAAAGAATGAAAACACTGACCCAGCCTGGGCTACTGAGCCTCCCAAGCCATCCCAAAACCTGGGAATGCATCCTGCCCATGACAGGCACAGGCTGACTGCACAGAAGGTTGCCGGACCAACAATCACACCACCCACAGTCAGGAGAAATCGCCCCTCTACATCTAACTGAATGCTAAGATGGACATTTCTGTTGAACGTCTGGTATGCCTGCTGACTGCACCATTGTTCCAAATAATTTCACACTGCACTAGCTACTAAAGCACCTCGGGGTGGCATACCTCGCTTGTATAGTACTCTTAAGATATAAGCATACAGTTTAATATTATTTCTTTCCCTTTATATTTTCTTTACCTCAATAAGCTTCATATGCATGAAACCTGAAACACTAGCCTGAATTCCATAGCATAATGCTGCCTCTGCTGGCTCAGTAATTTGTGAACCACTTCACTATGTTTTAAGATATACATGTCGCACTACACACAAGCTACAGATGTATAATCTTAAAGCGCGACTAGCATTGTTAAAAGCATGTTATCTTAAATAAGCGTAGTCCACTAGTCTGTTAACTTCATATCATATAAAAATGTGCCGACTACACTGCCACATTGTGAATGCCATAAAAATGCTGTAAAATTGTGCATGTGTTCTCAGACACCCCAAAAGTAAAACATGATAAAAATAGCTAGACGATGACACAGCATAATAATCTACTATCTAGAAAGTAAAAAGCGATGTTATTTTATGCTATTTTTTTTGAAACTATCTAAGCAACGTAAATCTATCCTGTCTATCTCCTTATCACAAAAAAAAAAAAAAAAGTGCAAGATCTACTGTCTACCCCTATGTTTAAACTGTTCATAATGCGCTAGAGGAATGCCTTTGGGGTACCTCATAAGCAACTGTTATAATCGTACGCACTACAAAAATAAAGAAAAAAAAAAAGAAAAGTTTGACCGTCATAGATCATCACAAACTAAAATTACTTGTATCATTCTCATGCAAACAATATGTAATCCTGGATACACACACACACACACACACACATATATATATATATATATATATATATATATATATAATTCACTCAAAAGTTCCACCTCAAGTTACTTACTCTCTCAGTAGCCACTGTCTGGAGTGTTCGCTCCGCTCGCTCCCTCAGTCCCTCTGCAGTTTGCTCAGTCTGCTCTCAGTCAGCTCTGCTTGCTTCCTAGTCCCTCTGCAATCTCCAGGCAGAGTAAGGTGTGGCTGCACAATCCACTCGCTTCTACCCCCTTCCATCCATGTCTGTTTCCCTCCATGTCTCTCTCCCACCTTCCATTCATGTCTCTACCCCATGTTTCCTCCCTACCTATTCCATCCATGTATCTCTCCCCATATCTCCCTCCCTACCTATTCCATCTATGTATCTCTCCCCATCTATATCTCCCTCCCCTCCCCTTCCATTCATATCTCTCCCCCCTTCTATTCATATCTCCCCCCTTCTAATCATATCTCCCTCCCCTCCCCTTCCATTCATATGTCTCTCCCCCTTCTATTCATATCTCCCCCCCTTCTAATCATATCTTCCTCTCCTCCCCTTCTATTCATATCTCCCTCTCCCCCCTTCTATTCATATCTCCTTCTCCCCCTTCTATTCATATCTCCCCCCTCATGTCTCCCTTCCTACCCCTTCCATTCATACTCCCTCTCTCCTTCCCTATTTTCAGGCAGCTGTTCCCTCACAGAGCCAGAACCCAAGGTGATGATAGTGCGGCTCTGCTCTGCTTTATAGCTAGATGCCCCCCCTTCCATTTTACTGGACATAGCAAGGAAGGGGGGCCTCTCACTCTCCGGCGGTGCACTGACAGACTGAGCGCCGGGTAGTCACGTGACAACCGCTGCTCCTACACAGAGCAGGAGGGAGAGGCGCTCCCCTTCCTAGTGTACAGTGGCAGCGTGCAACTCCATAAGGGAACCGCATGCAGCCTTGGAAGTTCAGAGAGCGCAGGTCGAGGTGGGCGATAAAATCACTTGTCAGTCTGACAAGGGATTTTTGCGCCCCCTTGCCAGGCACCTCTGATTGGATGGGCCGCAAACAAATTCATTGTGGGCCGCGAGTATGACATGCATGCAATACACTGTATTGAGGTTATGTTGCCTAGAGTGCCCTAGAATTGTCTCCCGGGTTCATGTCAAAATATTTCAGAATGTTGGTGAAACTAATGTAAAGAGGGACCTGGTGCAAGCATTTTTTGGGGGCTCTGGATATACACATATAGACACCTGACATGCACACTGACAGACACACACATTGACGCACACAAAGATAAACAAACACCAAAACACACACATAGGTCATAATTTATATATTTGTAGCCTCCTGTTTCCATACCTTTTGAGTGCAGGAGGGTGGCTTCCCTGGGTCCAGTGGGATGTTACTACAGCAGGAGCAGGCTGAGGCTGATGGGAGCCTGAGGCTGGCTCTCCAAGCAGTCCGTCTGCTCTACCCACTCCTCTTTCTGCTTCCACTCTCATTTTTCTCTTACTCTACAGCTCTAGGTGGCTCTAACGCTTGTGGACCCAGGTAAGGCTGCAACAGTTGCACCACTGTTTGATCAGCTGCTTCGTACCAGGACAGACCTGACAGAATACATAACGCTATAGCGTTATGGTGCAATTTTATCCTGGGGACATGTTAGCCAATCGCTTTCCCAAAATTCGTATTGTCTTGGTTGGACAAAATGAACATTGATAATCCGTAAGTGTTAATTCTGCCATATCAATGTGGCAAAGATGAGCATGGCCATGGAACCCCAGTTCATACCAAACTATTTCTAGAAGTAGTAGTTATGTTGTTTAGCATACCTCTTATATAACAATATTTTATACAATCTTTTTTTCTTGTATTTTTCAGTTCAGCTGTTAAAATAGTTGTGGTCTGCAACTTCTGATTTTAGTAGGCCTTATTCATTAAGCATCCAAAAGTAACTATGGTCAAAAAGCAAAAACAAAAATACAAAAAAACAAAAAACAAGTTCTTCCACCAGTCATGTACAACCACAGCTTATTTACACCTTATTATTGCTATTTGCCCACGTAGTTACATAGTTAAAAAGTGACACTATTCCTAGTCGAGACAGACAACCTGGTAAGGGAGACCTGTGATCAATGATAAGGACTGCAGGTAGTAAATTGTCCAATTGTAGTAAAACCTTTCCCCAGAAAAAAAAATCTCATGTGATATAATTCATTTTCAAATTATTGCTACATAAACATGGTTTACATGTACTGAAAGGGATGATTAAACTTTACATGTAAGGAGGGACTTGAATTTTGCCTGCATACACCCAGTGAGGATGCAAGAGATGGAGAATAGAACTTTCAAAAATTAGGGTTCCAAAAATTCCTCTGGACCACTAAGTAGATCAAAGAACTTGGCAGCTTTTTATGGTGTAGAACAATTGATGTATTAACATAACTTACATCAGAACATACACCATTCTCACCTACAAGTATAACTCCTTCCAATTTACAAAACAGTTTGGTATATGACAAACTGTATGACTGACATACAAAACTATTGTAACAACTACAATATTTTCATCAGAATATTTTCGACCAACTACAATCAGAGACAAAGAGGTATAGACAAATGGGTGAGAATGCTAAGTAACAAACCAGTGAGGGATGGCTACAATATGTCCATGGGCCAAACACACACAGGAAGCACAATTTGAGGCCAATCCACCATATTGATACATCATACTCCACTCCCTGTCTTAATTATGTAAAATAATTTAGTTAGTTAAATAATCTATTTAGCATTGAGCTGTGAGGCAGCAGCCAACAAACCTCTATATACTAGTGATACAGGTGGGTGGCAGAGGGGAGAGGGGTGGGTGGGGGGGAGAGGGGGGTCTCGGGAAAAGGCTCCCTTGCCATCTCTCCCCTGTAACAGAATTTGTAGCCTGTATGACCCTAGCTTATAGTATAATAATTACTTTGAAGGGACTGGGGAAGTGGGGAACAATCTTTATAGATTTTGACATCAAGAAGGATAATAACCAGAATCCTCAAAATGGCCAAATGGGCCAAAAAATCTAACAAGGGCAAAAGGATAATTTAAAAAAATCAACCTGTATTACACAATAGACCAGGCTGAGTAAACCAGTAAATCAGCATCCTAAAGTTAAAAAAATGTATCACTCAATCACAACTAAGGAAATACTGTTATTAGATAGAATTAGCAAGGAACTATTTAAAAAATAAATAAATGGCATGTTGATAAATCTCCCCCATGTGTTGTTTATTAAAATCATTTATAACCAAGGGATTTCTTTTTTTTTTACGCTGTCTTTAAAAAGAGCCTTGCTATCTATCTATCTATCTATCTATCTTTCTATCTATCCTAGTTAATCTAGCTATCTAGAATCCGCAGTATCTTTTCTTAATATAATATGCTATGTATTATTTAGTTTTCTTGAGAAAATATTGTACTTATTTGAAAATCAATGATCTTTATTTAAGCACACATTATAAAAAATAATGAAAAAAGTAGACAGGAATGGATGGCGAGTACTTAAATATGTATTATATTTATGGATGTGTTTTTATATCCAGTGTAATGTTATTTTTGCCGTGCAGCTATTCTTTGTATAATTTATTTACACCAATCTCTTCTCCTATACAGCACTAGAGATCTCGTTTTCAGATTTTCATACCCAGATCAATAATGCTGCACACAGAACAAATGAAATTAGTGATAGACGTCTTATCATCAGACGTGGTCAACCATTCTCTCTCAGTCTACATTTCAAAACACGTGGATTCCAAAAAGGAGACAACCTGATCTTCATTGTAGAAACAGGCAAGTGGCGGCAACTGTTCTTTATGGAATGTAGTGTCACCATTAATTCAAGAACAAAAGGCGGCAATTACGACGCATTAGTCAGGTTTATTAAAGTATTGTTTTCATAAACGTTCTTCTGATCCACCCTAATTTACACACTGTAAATACTGTCTCTCACATATATAAACTACACAAAATAAGCTACACCGCAAAAAAAACTAAACAAAAAAACAACAACAAAACCCTAACACATGGTGATTTGTGATGGAGAAACATCTTCAACTTACAAACAATGTCATGATAATATTAGCATCTTGTATATAATAGTATGTTGATAATAATCAGTCCTGTGAAATATTTTGAACCATAAAGGACCACTAAATGAACCCAGACCACTTCAACTGAATTCGGTACCTCGGTGTAGTGGTACTTTAGTCTTAACCCTACAATGTAAAGCATTGCCACTCAGTAGAAACGGCAGTACTTACATTGCAGGGTTATATGTGTCTCCAGTGGTGGTCTTTCTGATGGTCACTAGAAATGCATCCGCTGTGAGAACCCAGTTAAATTCGGTTCTCACAGCTAACCTCCATTTCATTGGAGGATCTCAGCACTGACTGCACATGAACTTTTTGTCCCCAATGCTCATGTATGAGGACCATTGGATTGGACAAAAGAGACAGGTTAGCATGATATCATGGGGGGTGGAGGTGGGCTGAAAACCTGAAAACTGCATATTTTCATTGCAGTGTTAAGATTGCCTCAAGAACATCCAGCATTTTGCAAAACTCCATAGATAAACATAGATTCAATGCTATCCTAGGGGTAAGGACTAATATGCATGGAGCACATGCGTATTAGGTTCCCCGATGCAATGATGTCAGAGAAGGTGGAAATGGAACCAGTGGTGGTGGATATTAGAGGAGGGAGACGTTAGACGTGTTCAGATGGTAAACACAAGGGTGGGCCAAGAAAGCAAACATCAACTGACTGTTGGTAATATTAGGTTCCCCATTGTAATGATGTCAGAGAATGATGTTAGAGCATTTCAATCATATCAATAATGGCTGATGTTTTTGACAACAAGCATGACGATTCATAGAAAAGAGGTAATATAATGCAGCTCTTACCAATTTTACTATGGAGAAGTAAAATAGCAAAAGAAGTCAGATATGGAGAAAATGCATGTCTCATGTAGAGTAAAGCATGCCCATTGAAGGATTGTGTTCATTGGCAGGGAACACTCAGCTCATGCTATCAGTTAATGGGTGTAATCTTTCACGGCCCTGCTTTACTCTCTAGAGCAGGGGTGCCCAGAAGATAGATCCCCAGATGTTTTAAAACTACAGCGTTCATGATGCTTTGTCATTATAAGGTATTCAAAAGGCACACACGGCATCATGGGAGTTGTAGTTCTACAACATGTGGGAATCTACCTTTTGGGCACCCGTGCTCTAGAGCTAACTGGATTCTCCTGCAGGAATAGACCAGAAGAGACAGATGTGACCACGGACTCAAGGCAGGACACAGATAAGTTATCAAACCAAGCTAAAATGGTAAAATGGTAAAATGGTCGCCATCTTGCCATCTTGTAGGCTGTAGTGGTTGTGGTGCTAGGAGTATTTCTTTAACTGTTTTGCATTTTGCTTCAGACTGCGCCATGATAATGTTAGCATTTCAAGTCCAAAGTTTTACCGCCCATGAAAAACAAGAGTCCTACATATCGTTTACCTTCTGCTCTACATAACTGGCCTTGATTACTATACTTGTGCACAGCAGAAAATTTTTTCAGCAGACTGACCTCGGCGGCAAATAAAAAAATTAAAAAATTGGGATGGCCGTATGGTGGGCAAAATTTTGTTAACAGAAAAAAAGATTCAGGAAAAGGAATCAGACGAACCAGAAAGGTAGGAAAATGGCCAATTATATACATTATGTATATATTTTGCAATGCATGTCTAGGTTAATTTTCCAGCCATTTGGTTTACAGATCAAGAAGAAGTACCAACAGAGAAAAAAAGAGGAGGGACATACAAAAAATATGTATCCATATTTACATATTTAGATATTATATGTGTGTCCTATATATATATATTATTTTATTGACTGTTCCTTCTTTTCCCTGTATGGGTTGGTTCTCATTTGATCTGTGACTATAATTAACATTTAGGGATTGCCCCCAGCCATCAATCATCTTTTTTTTCTCCATCAATCATCTCTTTTTTTTTAAATTTGTTTTTTGGTTTGTAATTTGGCTATACTTCTACTCAGAGCTCAGGAATGTAAATGATCAACCGAATGGCCTAAATTCAGATGAATTTCAAACTGTATGGAAATGTCTCCATATCTACTGATTACCACGAACATACAAATTGTAAAGTAATTCAATACTTATATGGTGACCCATAAGCTTGGAACTTGTAATGTATTCACAAGCTGCACTGAGCACGACTCAGACCCTTTAACCTACTCATTACTGTTGTTGTGCACAACCGAAACAGAGTTTGTTACACTTTTCTATTGTATAGAGACTAATGTTAATGGTTTAAGCTGACCACCACAAAGGGGAGAAAAAAAAAAGGAGAAGAATGTACGTACTCCTCACCATATTGTTTATAAACAGCGGCCTGCGTGCCACGACAAATGATGTACACTTTCTCAATAAAAACAGATTTATAAAAAAAACAAAATACTTATATGGTGCTTTAAGAATTTATTTTAAATATTTATTTTATTGAAAAAAGTAATACTTAAAATCAATGTGTACCAGTCCTCAAACTATTAACTAAAATGGAAACACTTGTCCATTTTTTAAAATTAGATCTAAAACTGTCTTTTTGTTTTGTTTTTTATTATTCGCAGGTCCTTGGCCTGATGAAGCATCAGGAACCAGAGCTGCCTTCCCATTGGCGAGGGCTGTGACTAAGAGCTGGAGTGCCGCACTGGAGGAGAATAAGTTTGACTCAATGGCAATCGCTATGTCTACCTCGCCTAATGCTATCATTGGACAATACACTATGAAGCTTCAAATTACCACCGGAAGTAAATCCACATCCTATCAACTAGGAACTTTTACTTTGCTTTTTAACCCATGGTGTGTAGGTAAGTTAACTTGTTTTAATTCTTTGCATTCCAGAACGTGGACAACATGCTTTATACTTTCTTATTTGATGAGATGCCGTGAATAACAATTAGCCAATAAGTTATTGAAATATTTAGCAAAAGGGAAGTAAAGGCCATGGAATAAAAAAATAAAAAATAATGCATTTATCTGATGATGTATTACCTCTTCAAAAATACTCCTCTTTTTAAGGTCTGCAAAAACATGTACGCAAGTGTATTTTCATTCTTTGCAAATATTTTAGACTCTTCAAATACTGTGAGATATATGGGCAAACTATGTAGTGTCTAAAGATTAATTCACCCAAATTTTCTCTGAAGGATGGATGAAAAAAATATTTTACAATCTTAATATAATCTTTTTCTACGTATCTCTGAACAGTAATCTAAACACCAACTTGCTCTTTTTTTCTCTACATTTAAGAGCTAGATATGCATCCCATGGTGATTGTCATGCTGGATATGTTAAAAGAAAAAGTGTTTAAAGTGAAGTGGGTTAAAGGGATGGATGAGATGTTTCCTTAATGTATCTGTCTATGAGGGTTTGACATATAACTTTCTTGCCTGAACTTGACAGATGATGAGGTGTACATGGAAAATCAAGTTGAAAGACAAGAGTATGTCTTGAACGACTACGGGTTTGTTTACCAAGGCAATAGTAATTGGATTACGCCTTGTCCTTGGAACTTTGGACAGGTAAATAATCTGAGTATTGGAGCACATGTAAAAATATTAACACATACTAATATTAACACCACTGCTCTGGTTTTAGTTTGAAGATGATATACTGGATATCACATTGAAGCTTCTGGACAAGAATCTCAATTACCTAAATGATGCATTTAAAGATCTATCTCACAGAAACAGTGCTGTATACGTAAGCAGAGTAGTCTGTGCCATGGTGAGTATATGGATTCCTTGAAAGTCATGTAATTAAACATCTAAACTGACATATATCAGTCGATGGAGGATAACAAAATGCATCCTGGGAGTAAGAATTGCTGATGATGATGACAATGTAACTAACAGATATCACATCACACAACTTACAAATAGGCCTCCCACCATGGTGGCTGTGTCACACGGTGTCAGGTGGACCTGGGCATTTCACAAAGTCAATCTAGATTTTATTGGAGCTCATCAAAATACATTTAGAATGTATCAGATATGGTTAAATTAATAAACTAGTTTGGATTTTGGCATGGTAGTGGAGAGGCTTTGTTTCTTCCAGTCTATACTTTTCATTGTGGTTTTCATATAACACAAGGTAGCACACATTGGAAGAAGACAGAATCGAACCATCACATTTGTAATGCATCACTGGAACAACATGCAGAGATGGATTAAGATCCCTTGGGTACCTAGGCAGCTTAACAATTTGATCCTCCTTTTCATGCTTTTATATTGATGGTTACTGGGATCAAGAAAATACATGGCTGCAGTGCCTCTGTCTGACTGCTGGGTTCTAAGCAGCTGGCTTGTGTCATCTTTTGGTTAAATTCCTGCTCTGGTAACAAAGGTGGCAGAAGACAGTTTAGTGGGGATAGGGAAATAGGTTGAGTGGAACATAGAGAGCCTAAAAAGAGTGGGAAGAAACAGTGGATGTGGACATGGGAATACGGTGAAGTAATAAGGTGGGAATGGAAGAGAAAGATTGACACAATGAAAAAGACACAATATTGGGGTGTGCGGGAAGAAAAAGGCATGAGAGAGATGAAGAGAACACAGGAATGGGGAGAGACACAACAGTGGAGATTGAATAGATGGGTAGGGTTATAAAGCAGGGTAGGGTTTGCACTTATGGGTATAAAGATAACGTTTGGCATGAGGAGTCAGTTGAGACTGGAACAAGTGGAAAGTGAAAGTAAGCTATGCTGAGAAAGACAGAAACCTGGAAGCTGCAAAAGTAGAAGGTAGAGACCAAGCTTTAAAAGTTGTACTAAAAACTTTCTTATGGCATCCCTAAACAGCACATTAAAAAAATTTAGCCCTTAACTAGACCCATTCATGACACATGACTAAAGGGCCTTCAGGCCGACACAGCCCAATCCTTTGTTGAGGTTGAAATGTTGCTCTGTTGCATTTTATAATCCATTAAATCTGCTTTATCTTTGAACCTTGTGATTGCCATGAGCCCCTTTTTTAAATATACCATATACACCCTATGTTTTCTAGGAATGGAGTGCGGTCCCTCCTCTCTTGAATGGCATATGTCATGACTGTCTTGATATAAGGGCATTTACTATCCCTTGTAATAAAGGGGGAACCTATGTATGGTTTGATAACTGCCTCTCAAAGAAATCTATCTATCTATCTATCTATCTATCTATCATCCAACAGTAGCACTTAGAGGACTTCCAACATGTTTTTTAATGTGTCACAATGCAGTAAATGACACCCAAGTCAGCAACAACATTTCAACCCTACTGGATCTTTATTAAGATAAAGATAAACCAACAAAAGTGTGTATTTATAAGAAAATCTGTAATTGAATACACTAACCAACTGAAACATTTAAAGTCTTCTACCATTCTGTCTTGAAAGCTCGAAGTGACGTCTGCAAGGAAAACATTCACGTGATACAATACACCTCATTATGCAAGCAAACATACCCCAAGGTATTGACATATCAACCAATACATAAAAGTGATTTAAAACACCAAAGTCATCAATATGTATACATGTATTGACGAACTTGGCGTTTTGCCATTTCTCTTTCATACATCTTTATTTACTATGGGTGGTGTTTGTTTGTTTTTTCCACCCATGTCTTGAATATACTTGATACATTTCATTCTGTAATAATCTATTACTTGGTATTTTACAGTTATCACTATTTCACATTTAAGTATTGGTTGCCATATCAACCATTCAGGGTATGATTGTATCAAGAAGTGTATCCTATCATATAACTGTTTTGTTTGAGGATGTTGCTTCTGGGTTTCGGGACACGGCAGTAGCAGGTTTGGATGCTTCTGTCAGTTGATCCAGCACGTACAACTGTATCACACCTAGGACTAAAAGGTAACGTCTTACGGGGCCTTAGAATGGCCGGACTTAACGTACCAAAAATTAGTCAGAATACTTGCCGAGTTCGGGGACACAGAATGAGACACAACAATGAAGGAAAGCCAAAAGTCAGGGATACCAGAATACAGGGAAGTCAAACGAAGCCAAAGTCAAATACCAGAAATAAACACTCAGGAACACACTCTCGGATAACCACTAAGGGAAATCATGACAGGGCAACGAGCTGAAGGAATAGGTAAGCTTAAATAACTCTCTTGTGGATCCGATTGGCTGTAACCGGTCTTTGACCCCAGAACATGCGTGTGCGTCCTTTGTGTGACCCACGCGTACGTTAACGTCGTCATTACCATGGACGGACATAGGGTTATAATTGGGAATGGGTCTGCAGCGGCCAGCGGCCTTCAATATGCCTCAGGAGTCGGATTTACTGGCACAGGGTTGCCGAGCCATACCTCTATTAATGCCAGGAGGGTATTCGTCACTGTGGGCACCACAAGGTGAGGCTGAACATGTGACAGCTTCAACTGATGAGCATATGCAATTTGATTTGCTAATATTCTTATAAATATGCACATCTGTGGCTTTATTATTGCCTTGATAATGAAATGTTGATGCTGACTTTGGGTGTCATGTATTGTATTTTGACACATTAAGACACGTTGGAAGTCCAACCAGGTTTGGAGTTTATATACAGTGTGTTTGAGCATTGAGGCTAGATTTAGTAATTTTGAACGAGGAGAGTGCAAAAGATCTATGTAATATATTTATATATATATAGCTACTTTTTAACAATTTAGATTAACAGTAACGATGACAATGGAGTTCTACAAGGCAACTGGAGTGAAGATTATACAAGTGGAGTGTGTCCTTCGTCTTGGAATGGAAGTACTGCAATTTTAAGGCAATGGTACAAGAGTGACTGTCAACCTGTGAAATATGGCCAGTGTTGGGTCTTTGCTGCTATAATGTGCACAGGTAAATAGACCTCTTCTTACTGTACATGCATTCACATTGCTTTGCTACATCAAATGTCATTTACAAAAATTGTTGTCATTGACATTATAAAGTCTAATTACAAATCATAAAAGAATCGTTAAGTCAACTTGTGTTTACCACATATATTGTATATATATCTTAACTTTATAAGCTTGGAATTTATCTTACTGTATTTGTAAGGCAATGCATCGCAAAGAAAGGTAGGGTTATTCAATAAAGGGCATCTCGTCACAAATTCTGAGTGAATTTTAAATATTAGACTAAGATATACGTAGCTTAACTCAAAACATACCTGCCAAGTCCCAGACTATTTAATATTAAGTTTGGTTCTCCTTGGCTTCGGGCTGTCTGAACGGGATTATGATGGCATTTTTGCTAAATCTTTGAATATAGGCCTCACTTTAATAAGCTTTCCAAATGTTTAAATACTGTTACAAAAACTTTCCAAATTATTTATCTACACAAAGTCTCATAGACTTTAATGGTGACTTCTTACATAGTTACATAGTTACATAGCTGAAAAGAGACTTGCGTCCATCAAGTTCAACCTTCCTCACATTTGTTTTTTGCTGTTGATCCAAAAGAAGGCAAAAAAAACCCAGTTTGAAGCACAATTTTGCAACAAGCTAGGAAAAAAAAATCGTTCTTGACCGAAGAATGGCAGTCAGATTTATCCTTGGATCAAGCAGTTATTTCCCTACATTGAAAGATTATATCCTTGAATATTCTGTTTTTGCAAGTATGCATCTAGTAGCTGTTTGAACATCTGTATGGACTCTGATAAAACCACTTCTTCAGGCAGAGAATTCCACATCCGGATTGTTTTTACAGTAAAAAAACCTTTCCTTTGCCTTAGACTAAATCTTCTTTTTTCCAGTCTAAACGCATGGCCTCGTGTCCTATGTAAAGTCCGGTTTGTGAATAGATTTCCACACAATGGTTTGTATTGGCCCCGAATATATTTGTATAATGTTATCATATCCCCTCTCAGGCAAAGTTTTCTAACACTATTGAATCATTTGGAAAGCTTATTAAATCAAGGCCTACATGTTTAAAAGTAAACGGATCATCTCATGAAAAATGCTTTACACAAAGTAAAGGGGATTTTAATGGTGCAATTCCAGAGAATTGACCACTCCTTTTTAAAAATACTATTAGATAGAAATAATATATAATTCAAAATAAAGAATAAGAACATAAACAATAATTTATATCTGTGCTTTCTCTTTCTTTTGCTCAACATCTGTCTCTGCAGTCATGAGAGGCCTAGGAATACCGACGCGGGTTATAACAAATTTTGAATCTGCTCATGACACAAACACCAACATTCTGATTGATGAATATTATGATTCAACTGGAAAGAAACTCCCCAAGGAAAGCCATGATAGTATTTGGTAAGATTGTTGTGTGAATTGATAAAAACATATTGATAAATTATTATCAAGACACTGTAGCATCACTCAACATACAGAACAGGAAATAATCAATTAATTGATACATTTGAATATGTTTACTCCTTCTCTCAGCCTGTAGTTTGTTTTTTCATCCATCGAGCTACTTCCTTCAGGAAACATTTTACGTTTGTTTTGTGTCCTACCTACCATGGCCTACCATGTCCTACCATGGCCTACTATGGCCTGTATCCTCTGAATGGCCCAGCAAATCTACTGCAAAGCCAAAGGCAAGGAAGGACTGAGTAGCAATTGTTCTATGGCAGTGGTTCCCAACCCAACCCTCAAGTACCCCCTAACAGTCCAGTATTTAGGGATTCTCCAAAAAAAGAAAACACTTTAAACACAGCAGGATAGGGGGTACTTGAGGACTGGGTTGAGAACCCCTGTTCTATGGCATTTATGTGTGTCTTACCCAGATATAACTGTGGCCTGTGTCCTCCTTTGGGGCCATAGCTGATCTGTGATGTGAATAGAAAGGCCAACATTTCCCTACAGTTATCCAGAGTTGTTTTTCTTTATTCCTTTGTATGCTGGGCAGCAAGGGAATGACACTTTCATGGAACAATTTGTGCTGCAAATGCCTCAATGAGGTGGTAGAGCCAAGACAAACAACCGGATCAATGCCAGAAGATCTGAAACAATGTATTTCGCAGGAGATTGTGAGGATATTTATGGGCTGATAAATATTACAAATGATATTTTCATAAAAATTATCAAAAATTAGTTTAATCATTTTTATTATATCAAAAATTGATATCTTGGCACTGTTCCCCGAATAATGATATAAAGCGATGTAAATCGTTACCAACGATTTTAATTCTCTAGATCCTAGAGGAAGTTTCACTAGAGGATTTTTACTTCACACAACAATCACAAATTAATTATAAAAATATAATTTATTGTGACAATAATAATAAAATAATATATGTAACATGCGTGACAATAATCAGTGAATATTTAGATATAACATAAGTTTACAACATGGCAATGGTTTCAGCAGGACACTACTTCACTTAGAAATAACTTCATAGAGAAGAAAGAACTTCACAGAACACACAGCAGTGCAGCATAACGCAATACAAACTTTGGCTGACAGTCAAATCACACTGAATTAACTCTTTCACTGCTAGCTACAATCCTCATACCAGATCATTCACCATTCCTAGGACTATCCAATAAGAAAAATTCTAACCAGATTTTACATTTGCAGAATTTTAACTTTCCTAATTAAGATTCACTATCTTATTTCAGAACAAATCAATACCTCTGGATACAATTTTGTTATGCTAACATTTGGCAAATTTACAGTTAATATATCATTATCTTTATTCCACCTTCAGGAATGGAATTTTTATAACTATATATTCCTTAGCTAATTATGATTTCTAATAATTGAAATCTGACCAAGATTTATCTAGTTAGATATTCCTGCTGTTAGCAAAATTTATTAATTTAATTTAATTAAATAAAGCCAGCATAATTACCAGTTAGGTTGTAGATTTTCTATCAGATATGTAGATATGTCCCAGGAATTTCGAATGCAAGTATGATAAGAATTGTTGTATTGATCCTGATGAAAGCCACGGACGTTGGCTGAAACGTCGATCGTATTTTAAAGGAATGAAATAAAGGAACCTATTAAAAGAAAAAAAGACTGTGAGTGCAAGCCTTTTTCAACACATATATTAATATTAATTAAATGGCTGAAGTGCACGCGGCATTTTTTCAATTTAAAGTGTGTGTGCAAGGACACAGAGAGACATTAATTATATATATATACATATATATACATACATATTTGTCTCTGGGTTGTAGCATTCAACACCTCCCCTGCTGTAGACATCATGCCTTATCTCTTGTCTTGTTTACATAAGTCGCATTCCTTAGCTCAGACTTGAATGAATAGAGTGAAAGAGAGAGACCTCTTGTGTCTGTCTTAGCTTTGTAATACAAAATGGAGTCACCTCTGTTCTGAAGGTGACTGGCAGTATACACTTTTCATTTCTATCTTAACACAAAATGTCTGCCGCTAAAAATTTACTGACAAGATTACAGGGGTCCATTCTCTTAAGTAACTTATGGCAGTCCCCTTTCCCTAGGAATTAGCTAAATTTGACACTTTGCACAACACAAGCAAAAGTCTTTCACATCACATCATACTTCCTGCTGTGACGGTGATAGTCCAAGAATCAGATCATCTGTATGTACAGGAGCAGGTGTTACCCATCTTAAGGTCTGAAATTTGAACTGAGAGTACATTTCTTGGCATGGCAAAATCCCTATATAGTAAGATGTGTAATACTATTATTATAATATATTACATATATTATGTATAGCAGTAATTACATATTTAAAAGATATTAATGAAGGAACACAAATACACATATATCTTCAGGATATGGTTTACAGTGAAGACTATACAAAGTGTGTGGTGATATAAAACAGGATGATTTCATAATTCGGACTAGAACTTAAGAGGTTAAAAGCATGTAAGAGAAAGAATTAGGCTGAACTTGCAGTTTCCTGATGTAACACTCTGGGGATAGATGATAAGTTACTAACCAATCAAAATGATTGACTGCTTGCCATCTATCAACTCACATAATATATAAAAGGTACATATTTAGTGACTTTTCTGGAATAAAATGAGAAGACTTAATATGCATCCTACAAGTGCTGTCTGTGTAAATAATTTCTTTCTACCAGTTAATTGTGTTTCTGGTTTCCTTAACCTTTAAGTGTGTTGGCCAACAGTGAATCGTGTGGGACCACCTTTGCTCTGAGAGCCCCTTTCAAATACTGAGCACAGCACCCCTTCAAAGAATTCATGGAGAGAATGGATTCAAACCTAGTCAACTCATAATTATATTTCGGAGAAGGTTTCCATCAAATTTAGCATTGGCACCATTATCTAGGGCCATAGATTTTTTGGGGTATTCAGACCAGAAGAGGCTATCTCTTCGGGAGTTAGAACATAAGGATCTAGCTCATGCAACTAATTTTATATCAGAAGTCTTCTTGGTATATCACCATGATAATGTTGAATGGGATGGCTATGATGGAGGCATTTGTCTAAAGGTGTTGTGGTCATCTTCATTGATGCCAGGGGTAGGTTACAGAGGTTATAAGAGCTTAACCCTAATTATACAAATAGACAAAGAATACAACTAATGAGGTCAGATGGCTCTTTGTAGACCTGTGGCTGTTTGTGGCAATCCTACAGGTGGATTGTTTTAAGTGTGTAGTGCTTCTAATACTATATCCAGTTCACTTGAATTTGAGACTTTGTTGTTTTTTATATATTCCCCTCCTTTTTAATTGATACTGATTATCACTTTTCACTTATTATTGCACCTATTTTGTATGTCAATTTACAATAACGTTTATTACCTATAAGATGATTGTTTAATTTGGAGGTAGTTACGGTGGGGTACAGCACTTCCCTTTCTCTAGGGAGCCGTCTGACCTCATTAGTTGTATTCTTTTTTTAATATAAAGATACATGTAGATTAAAATTTCATATATATATTTTGAATGTGGCATAGCACAACCTAACGTCGGGAAGGATTAATGTGTTCACCTTTTATTGAAAAAAAAATAAATAAGGGGTGCACACTGTAATGAAATGGGCTGCGTACAATGATATGGTGAACATTGATTTGCGTTGTAAGTATGATTTAAAAACACAAACATTTTCCTCTGCTTTCAGGAACTTTCATGTGTGGTGTGAGTGTTGGATGGCCAGGAGGGATTTGCCATCAGGATTTGGAGGTTGGCAGGTGCTAGACCCAACTCCACAAGAAACAAGTGATGGTAGGAATGGGAAACTTTTGGGCCTGTATCAGTAATTATTGCATTACTTGATGACTAATGTTTAAAATATGGAATTTCCCACTAGGAAAATATTGCTGTGGCCCAGCATCTGTCAAGGCCATCAAAGAAGGAGAGGTCAACCTTAGCTACGATGGTCCTTTTGTGTTTGCAATGGTAAATGCAGATTGTGTGTCCTGGTTAGTCTATGGCAAAAGAAGAGAAAAGTATTTTTGTGACCCACATTTGGTTGGAAATCGCATAAGCACGAAACGCGCTGGTAGTGATGACCGTGAAGATGTTACTCATCACTACAAATATCAGGAAGGTAAATATAACTCAATGGTAATTTACAATTAATGCTTTTTATAGGCAAATGCAATAGTGATAAATTCATGAAATTGCAACTCTGATAATTCACACTAAACATAAATGAAGGTAAACTTACACAAAGACAGGAGAGACTGCCCCAGTGAATAAAAACATTACATGAATAAATACAAATACCTTTCATCTACAGAGAAATAAGAACAAACAAAACAAAAATAAAACCACAAACAATACAAAATAGCAAACACTGAAAATAGATAGCTGATCCTATGCAGATACTCTGCATGTCCAACTGAGGATAGTGGTGGTTCACTCTTCACTATAAAAATCTTTTGTGATCTGTAATAGAAGGCACACAGCAATAAAGAGATAGTATGGTAAAGTATATTGCAATATCAGTATCAGCAAGAAAAATAATAAAATGTAATGGCCAGTTACATTAAATAATGCTACTATTAGCGCAAGGATAGCAGCGTTAAAGGGACGCTATAGTCACCAAAACAACTTTAGTTTTAGTAAGCATGTTTTAGTGTATAAATCATGCCCCTGCAGTCTCACTGCTCAATTCTCTGCCATTTGGATATGCAGACTATCTGCTTAGGAGCAGCTATCTATTTTCAGTGGTTGATATTTTGTATACCGTATATACTCGTGTATAAGTCGATCTCATGTATAAGTCGAGTGCAGTTTTGTGACCAACAATTGTGAAATATGCTATGCCTCGTGGATAAGTGGAGGGTAAAACTTGGGGCTATGAAATTCTGTGATTTTTTATAATTATATACATACACACTCATACAAACATACACACTACATTATATACACACACTCATACAAACACACAATCTGCATTATATACACACGCACTCATACAAACACACACTCTGCATTATACACACACACACACACACTCTGCAATATACACACGCATTCATACACACACTCTGCATTATACACAGACATTCATACACACACTCTGCATTATACACACACACTCATACAAACAATCTGCATTATACACACACACTCATACAAAAACACACTCTGCATTATATACACACACACTCATACAAACACACACTCTGCATTATATACACACACACTCATACAAACACACACTCTGCATTATATACACACACACTTATACAAACACACACTCAAACAAACAATCTGCATTATACACACTCATACAAACACACACTCTGCATTATATACGCACACACTCATACAAACACACACTCTGCATTATATAATGCAGAGTGTGTTTGTTTGTGTGAATGCAGAGTGTGTGTGTGTATATAATGCAGAGCCTGTGTTTGTATGAGTGTGTGTGTATAATGTAGAGTGTGTGTTTGTATGAGTGTGTATATAATGCAGTGTGTGTGTATATAATGCAGAGTGTGTGTTTGTATGAGAGTGTTTGTGTGTGAACTGGGTGGGGGTGGGCATTTTTATTATTTGTAATTTTTTTATTATTTACTTTTTTAATTTTAATATTAAATTTTTTTTATTGTAATTATTTTTTTATTATTTAATTTTATTTTCATCCCCCCTCCCTGCTTGTTAGCTGGCCAGGGAGGGGGGCTCTCATTCCCTGGTGGTCCAGTGGATGGGCTGTGTAGGAGGGGGGCTGGCAGAGAGCTGTTACTTACCTTTCCTGCAGCTCCCTTCTCCTCTGGTCCGATCAGCTCCACTGTAAGTCTCGCGAGAGCCACGGGGTCAGAGCGTTGCCACGGGTTACCGTGGCAATGCTCTGCGCGGCAGTCACACCGCGAGACTTACAGTGGAGGAGAAGGGAGTTGACCGGAGCGCAGGAGAAGGGAGCTGACAGGAGCTGCAGGAAAGGTAAGTAACAGCTCTCTGCCAGCCCCCAACAGGACTGCCAGGCTTATAATGAGCCTGGTGGTCCTGGTCTGTATTATGGCAATGTAAGTTGCCATAATACAGACACTGACTCAAGTATAAGTCGAGTGGGGGGTTTTCAACACAAATAATGTGCTGAAAAACTAGACTTATACTTGAGTATATATGGTAGTTCATGTAGTCCTAGGCTCAGACTAGACTAGAACTTGTGACTTGCACAGCCTTCCTAAACACTTCCTGTATAGAGTCATCTAATATTTATATTTCTTTTATTGCAATTTTTGTTTAATTTGGAATTTCTTATCTCCTGTTCTGTTTATAGCTTACTAGACCCTACAGGAACCTCCTGTATGTAATTAAAGTCAAATTTACAGAGCAGGGGATAAAGTTTAAAGTAAGTTACATTTCAAAGTGAAACAATTTTTTTCATGCAAGCCGTGTCAGTCACAGCTAGGGGAGGTGTGCCGAGGGCTGTATGAACAGAAACAAGAGTGATTTTACTCCTAAATGTGGCATTATCTATACGCTGTAACTTCTTACACTGTATGTAAACCATAAGGATATCAGAAGAGTACTATTTACAGTATCCAGAGCCTAACATAGCTCAGAATCTCAAGTGAGGGTGGTATCTTCCCCACCTGGGATATAGGGAGAAGCAGAGTTCAAAGGTACCAGCCAATGATAATCAGGAGGCAGCCTGGAGTGGTACTGACATTTAAAGGGACACTATAGTCACCAGAACAACTACAGCTTAATGCAGTTGTTCTGGTGAGTATGGTCAGTCCCTTCAGGCTTTTTGCAAACACTGCCTTTTCAGAGATTGATTTACTGCATCTCTATGAGGAGATGCTGACTGGTAGGGCAACGTTTGGATCAGCCCAGGACCCACCTGCTTGGCTGAGATTATCAGAATTGACAATCTCAGCCAATGCAATGCTTTCCTATGGGGGGAAATGGGGACCAGATAGTGTTTTTAACACTATAGGGTCAGGAATATGTGTTTGTGTTCCCGACCCTATAGAGTTCATTTAAATATAGTGAAGTGCAAAAATGGAAAAAAAATATTTAGATCAAAATCCTAGTGACAAATCATTTTACTATACATATATAATATATATGTTAAAAATATGAACATTGGTGTCTATGTTTTATACTGAAATTGTGAATGATCTGTATTTTATTGAATTAAGGGAGCATTGAAGAAAGAAAAGTGTTCCAAAAAGCCACCCACAGACTACAAAATAAGCATACAATGTCAGCATCCAATGGCAGCATGTATTCTTCTGGAACTAATGGCATCACCGCTAATGGCAGTTCATCAGAGAATGGGAGACCTTCAGAAAACGAAAGTGTTGGTCTCGATGCATCTCGAAATCCACCACTGAATGAAGCAAAATTATTTCTTGCGTTTAAATTAACAGAGTCTCCCCAGCTTGGACAAACCATCAATCTAGCTTTACTGGCTGTAAACTTGGTTAGAGTTGCTAAGACATTGAAGTTAAGCCTCACTGCCCAGTCTGTGAAACACAATGGTAAAGAAGCGCATCAGTTTTGGAAAGAATCCATGTACATAGACCTTGGACCAGGAGAAGGTAAAACATACACTAATTTTCTCATAATTAAAAGCAATACCAGTTAACATTAGTAATTGCAAGATAGTTTTAATGTTTAATGGACCACAGGAAATTAATTTCATTGTGTGGGGGGGAGAGGGGGAGGGGATTTCCTTTTTGACATTAGGGGGCCTCACAAATTTACTAAAAAACTTAACAGTAGTGGCACAATAGACGTCTTGTCACAGCCACCCTCTTCCTCCAAGACTAGCAATGATCTTGTGGCCAGTCCAAAGAGAAACCAATGCAGTAGCTATTTGTTTCCTCTTATTCATACTATCTTTTTTTTCATGCACACATGCTCTCTCCCATACATACTGTGACGGACTGGTTCGGTCACTAGGATAACTGGCACGGAACTCTAAGCCAACTCCTCCCCAAAAGAGTTAAAATCTATTTGCTCATCTTCCCCTCCTATGCCTCATCCCACAGGACATACAGCCCTTGCAAAATATTAGTGAAAATGATTGGGACAAACTAAAATGTTTTTAAAAAATGGGCTAATATGTTTGCTGAAAGATATATATATTATAAATATTATGCATACATTTTTCAGTACACCTATACATTTTTACACCATTTCACTCATAGACAGAAGTGAGAAAAAGTATAATAGAGGAAAAAAGAGGAGAAGCAATAAAAAAGATAAATCTATAGTTCTATAACTATACATAAATATAGATTTACTCACTTTTCCACCCTTTTCCCCTCTACTGGTCACTTGATATGTCAATAAAATAAACATTTGGTGGCTGTCCTTTTTTTGGAACTCCGAATCACAAATCAAACAAACATGCTCGTCCATTGCCTGAGTAGTTTGTTTGCTTATACGTCCATATGGTGCATCGGACTTACAAAATTCTGACAACCCGTCGATTGGCCTAAATTTGGACGAATTGCAAATTTGTCCAAAAAGGAATGCACAAGTCTATTATAAACCATGTCATTTCAGCTCAGTAGCTATGTAACATCTTATTTACATATTTATTTCTAGAAAAATGGATGTTATTACAAATTCCATATACAAAGTATGGTCCATACCTCGATGATAACTACCTGGTCAGAGTTACTGCTACTGGGGAGCAGAATATAACCTGGGAGAAACTGCTGGTGCAAAAAGACATTAACCTGGCTCTACCAAACATCCTCATCAATGTAAGGAGATAAACAATTTTTTGGTGGAAATATTGCCTTTTTTCATTGGGTTAGCCAATATGTAGTCCTTTGATTCTTTTTGCTGTTGTTGTATTGCCGAACTTAAAGAGTGTCTGAAGATTAAAGGCACTTACCTGACCCTCTGTTTTCCAGCTGTGATCTAGAGAGGTAGATATTACCCACCTCTGGTTCATCTGCACTCCTACCATGGTTTTTGCTGATTTACCCTTCTTGAGGAAGCTTCCCCAAACTTCCTACATTAAGCCGACACACAAGCTTAGTTGACAGCATGGTGGCATCTGAACATCTGATGCCAATCTCTCCATTTCTGTACTCCTCAAGGAGATACCGTATGCACTGTGGTTACTATGGGTGGAGAGCAGAAGGACCTCCTGTGAGAGATCCCTTCTTCTCTCACTGTCAGTCAATTCGTTGGCAAAGAGTCTATGCGAAACAATTGATTGTTTCAGCAAAATGTATAAATGGAATTCCATACTCTTTAAAAAGAGCATGAGTAGTTTGGGGAATTGGGTTGGGTTACTTTTAAAGACAAACTACCCATTCATGTCTCCAAGGCCGGCTCAAGACATTGTGCTGCATGGATCCAAGTATGACGTGCTGTCCCCACCCCCCCAAAAAAACAAACAAACAAACGTATATGCTTCTGCAATGGTAGTGTCTCTATGTGGGTGTGCTGGGGATGAAGTGTGCGCCTGTGTGTTTACTGGGAATGTAGTGTGTCTGTGTGGGTGCTGGGGATATAGTGTGTGTTTGTGTGTGCTGGGGATGTAGTATGTCTCTGTGTGTGTGCTGGGGATGTAGTATGTGTCTGTGTGTGTGCTGAGGATGTAGTATGTGTCTATGTGTGTACTGGGGATGTAGTATATGTCTGTGTGTGCTGGGGATGTAGTGGTGTGTCTGTGTGTACAAAAAGACAAGAGTGGAGTGTCTTGTATAAATGATACTGGGAAATATAAGTATTTATGATACGTTAAAACTTGGCTTTTACTAATAACTACTATTACTAAAATCTATAGCCAAACTAAACCTATGTACAAGGATCAAAAGGGAGAACAATCACCACGGACTTAGTGTCTATGGAGGAGTAATGAGCCAAGTTAGACTAGAGGCTGATAAACTCAGTATCATGCCGATCAAATTACCTCTATAGTAGAGATCATTTGAAAAAAAAGTTTGAAGTTTTGAAGAAAAAAAAGTTTTGAAGTTCCTGAATTTGCTGCAAATCACCAAAGCTAGCAGCTTATATTGTGAACTATGCAGTCAACAGGAAGTAGCTTGTGCAACATCATGCTCCTATTATTTTAAAAGTGATATGCATATATCCAATAAATCCTGGTCCAGCAAGGGATTAAGGGAAAGGCGATGATATTGCACATGTGCAATTAGATGCCACCTGCTTAGAGATAGAAGATTCCTTTGCCACAACTTACAACTGATGAAACAGGACAAGACAAGCAGAGGTTCGTTATAGCACCAACATTTTTCCTTGTTTAGACTTTTATATCTTTAATATCTTTCACATACAAAAGACACATTATTACCCTTTACCTTATCTTGTGTATATCTTTAAAATACTTTGTAAAGTCAGTGAAAATCTAACACACAATATAGGCAGTTAAGTGACAGTATCGTTTTAAAAATCACTTAGCATATTAGCATTTATTTGTCTTCGTGTGTGACTTGGGCAATTTCATTATATTTTTCTCAATGTCTTTCATCAAGCCTTTATATTATTATATTTTATAGGACCACTCTAGGCACCCAGACCACTTCAGCTTAATGAAGTGGTCTGGGTGCCAGGTCCAGCTAGGGTTAACCATTTTTTTTTATAAACATAGCAGTTTCAGTGAAACTTCTATGTTTATAAATGGGTTAAGCCTTCCTCCAAATCCTCTAGTGGCTGTCTCATTGACAGCCGCTAGAGGCGCTTGCGTGATTCTCACTGTGAAAATCACAGTGAGAGCACGCAAGCGTCCATAGGAAAGCATTGTAAATGCTTTCCTATGCGACCGGCTGAATGCGCGCGCAGCTCTTGCCGCGCGTGCTCATTCAGCCGATTGGGCGGAGAGGAGGAGGATCGGAAGAGGAGAGCTCCCCGCCCAGCGCTAGAAAAAGGTATGTTTTTACCCCTTTCCACTTTCCAGAGCCGGGCGGGAGGGGGTCCCTGAGTGTGGGGGCACCCTCAGGGCACTATAGTGCCAGGAAAACTAGTATGTTTTCCTGGCACTATAGTGGTCCTTTAATAATAATTTGAGATTGTTTCATAGATTTGGAGTAGTAGATCTAGTCAACTGTTGGTCCACTCAATTCTAAACAACTTACTCATCGAGGACTAATAGGACTGGTGGTGATCAATAGTCAGAGCTCAGATTATATACAATTTTAAAGGTCAATAAATTAGCTGTGCAACCAGTACGGAGAAAATTAATACACATTGCACAGGTCCGCTATGTGTATGAATCTAATGGCTTGTCGAAAATATTGGTTTAACTCAAAGGTTCTTTTTGTGCTTTTCCAAACACAGTTTCTCGGCTCACCAGTAGTGAACAAACCATGTAGGGTGAAGCTCACTTTTTCCAACCCTCTTAATGAAGAAATACAAGACTGTCTTATGGTTATTGAGGGAAGTGGACTACTAAAAAGTCAGATGAAATTACAGTAAGTGAATTTACAAAACGTTGGGCAAAATAGAAGCATCATTTGACACAATGAACATAACAAGCATTAGCAACCTCTGGCCTTCGATCGACTATGTATTGTGTCTTTGAGGGTGTTCAGCTACAGAGTAGTATGAATAGTTTAAGAACATTAACTCCCATTATTTAATAGTCTCAGTCCTCAGTCTTAGAAGGAATGTCACATGTAAAAACAGCTATTTGAAATGTTGCATTGCTGTAGAAATACTTATCTGCGATGTATATCAGTTGACTAAAGCACCGTCTATGGTACCTGTTCTAACAAAATCTCACGGTATAACTTCGACTAGGTGGAATCAGCCTTTCATCTTTTGATGATGGATACAATTTGGTTGGGTAATCACAAACACTTTTTTTTTTAGCTCTCAATATAGTAAAGTCGCTGATAGGTCAGTGTGGGGCTACTAATTGTGGCAAATGGGGATCCCAGGTATCAAATGATACCTCGGATTCTTCACCAGCAGGGAAACAGAACCTGCAAGTTATAGTTTGCATGATGGAATTATTCAGTCATTGGTAAGTAAGGGGCTAAGACCACAGTGTAATCATATGAGATAAACTTTTTAAACACAACTGAAATGTTACTACATTGGAACTGGCAACTTAACGGCTATTGACAAATAGTATAAAGAAATATTTATTGATAAGTTATGAGTTCAAATTTTGTTAAAGCGGTACACTTTTATGATGCATAAGTCAGAAACATAGGTAACCGTAAGCTGTTGCCACAGGTTTAATGGAGTTAAAGGGAGTCCTTTTCAGAGATTGTATTATTATTTATAGTCTATCCCACAGAGACACACTGCCATGTTTTAACAGGTAATGTGGAATAAGCTGATGATGGAAGCAAGCCTCAAGCTATATATAAAAATTGTGGAAAGATGGGGCTTAGCATATTATTATGGCAATGTTAGAATTTATTAACAGAGCTATTTACTAAAGTAAGAATTTAAAGTAAATTTCAAATGTAAGGCCAAAGTATCCGAACTGGAATCATAGCTGACTTTGCCAATTTTTGAATTTTGACTATTTTGACATAAAATTTGGAATTAACTCAATTTCCAACGATTCTCACTTAAAATGTGGGGTGGCTGATAAGACAATTCTCACTTCAAATGAATCAATGGAGGCTGATATGGGGGGGAATTAAAGATTTCCTTGTTTTGCCATTTTCAACACCCCTAATTTTCTTTATGTAAAACATAAAAGAAGACACATTTGGGGAATAAACAATAATATGTTAGATGAAACATAAAGTTATCTTTGCTAAACACTGAAACTACAACATTTAGTACTGAACAGCAAAGCTGTGACTGTAATTAATATTTATTTTATTTTTTCTCCAAAATAACAGTTTTGGAATGCATTTTTCCATTCAGTTTTTAATTCACTACAAATTGCTGTTTAATGCATGAACTCATAAAAAGACAATAACATAAAAAATAAATAAAAATAAATAAATAAACACAACTGTAGAAGATAAGTCCTCACTCCCATCACTAGTGGGCAGCAGCAACGACCACAGTACACATCAGCCCCAATATATAGTAAAAACCAAAGAAAAACAAGTTACCTGCGCTCTCTCCTTAATCCATATGTATTTTTAAACATGACATTAGCAGGTGGGCTTATCCTCTCATGGCCATTGAAGGTAACTAAAACACCTCCATTTGTTTAAAAATACATAGGGATTAAGGAGAGAGCGCAGGTAAAAATAAATAAATGACAGAGATGTTTTTAAAGGTGCTTTAAATATGCTCTTCATTTGCATTATTGTTGTATTTCCCAGTGTTTAATTATACATTTAATCTGTTTTATTATGAAATTATTTCAATTTAAAGTTATTAAGGGCTTATTCATCTAACATAATGCAGAAATGTGAACAACAAATGTGTTTAAATTCTACTTTTGAATATCTAACTTATAACTTGAAAAACAAGTTTTATTTAACCAATCATTGTTAGATTTATTTAACTTATCATTGTTAACAGGAGTAGTCCCAGAAGATTGGAAGTTAGCGAATGTTGTGCCCATTCACAAGAAAGGTAGTAGGGAGTCAGGCAACTATAAGCCAGTAAGCCTTACTTCAGTAGTGGGGAAAGTGATGGAAACCATGTTAAAGGATAGGATTGATGAACATCTAAAATCACATGGATTTCAAGATCAGAGACAACATGGGTTTACTTCAGGGAGATCATGCCAAACTAATCTTATTGATTTTTTTGATTGGGTAACTAAAATTATAGATCAGGCTGGTGCAGTAGACATTGCTTACCTAGATTTCAGTAAGAATTTTGACACTGTTGCACTCAGAAGACTTATCAATAAATTGCAATCTTTAAGTTTGGATTCCAATATTGTTGAATGGGTAAGGCAGTGACTGAGTGACAGGCAACAGAGGGTTGTAGTCAATGGAGTATATTCGAAGCTTGGGCTTGTCACCAGTGGGGTACCTCAGGGATCTGTATTTGGACCCATTCTCTTTAATATTTTATTAGTGATATTACTGAAGGTCTTGATGGTAAGGTATGTCTTTTTGCTGATGATACAAAAATATGTAACAGGGTTGATGTTCCAGGAGGGATAAGCCAAATGGCAAATGATTTAGGTAAACTAGAAAAATGGTCAGAGTTGTGGCAGTTGCAGTGCAAGATAATGCATCTTGGATGTAAAAACCCAAGGGTAAAGTACAGAATATTTGATAGAGTCCTAACCTCAACATCTGAAGAAAGGGATTTAGGGGTAATTATTTCAGATGACTTAAAGGTAGGCAGACAATGTAATAGAGCAGCAGGAAATGCTAGCAGAATGCTTGGTTGTATAGGGAGAGGTATTAGCAGTAGAAAGAGGGAAGTGGTCATGCCATTGTACATAACACTGGTGAGACCTTACGCAGTACTGGAGACCGTATCTCCAGAAAGATATTGATACTTTAGAGAGAGTTCAGATAAGGGCTACTAAACTGGTTCATGGATTGCAGGATAAAACTTACCAGGAAAGGTTAAAGGAACTTAACATGTATAGCTTGGAGGAAAGACGAGACAGGGGGGATATGATAGAAACATTTAAATACATAAAGGGAATCAACACAATAAAAGAGGAGACTATATTTAAAAGAAGAAAAACTAGCACAACAACAGGACATAGTCTTAAATTAGAGGGGCAAAAGTTTAAAAATAATATCAGGAAGTATTACTTTACTGAGAGGGTAGTGGATGCATGGAATAGCCTTCCACCGGAAGTGGTAGAGGTTAACACAGTTAAGGAGTTTAAGCATGTGTGGGATAGGCATAAGGCTATCATAACTATAAGACAAGGCCAGGGACTAATGAAAGTATTTAGAAAATCGGGCAGACTAGATGGGCCGAATGGTTCTTATCTGCCGTCACATTCTATGTTTCTATGTTTCTATAATGCAAAAGCAAAATAAAGTTATTAAGGGTCTTGCATCTTTTTTTTTGTCTTCATTTTAGGTTGGGGGCCATGAAACCGAGAGAAAAGTCAGTTCTGGAGTTTCAAGTCATTCCCTTCAAAGTGGGTTTCAAACAACTCCAAGTGAATTTCAGCAGCAATAAATTCAGGGTCATTAAAGGATACAAAACTGTGTCGGTCAAACCTTGAGATTTACTTTGCTGGTTGGACAGGTGAAGGGGACAAAGCTACACATGAAAAGGGGAAAGCTACGTTAGGTTTGTTGGAGAGCACTCACCTGTTCTAAAGGTGGGGAATGTAAAGCCTTGTTGAGTCAGAATAATCTGGGATTTATCTATCTGTACAGTTTTTTCTGCCATAAAAATAGAAGGAAAATTGAGGCCTTTCAGTACATTGATATGAGTTGTTACAAATGTAGGTTTCTAATTACAGTATACTAGTTTTTTTTCCTGTTACTGACCTGAAATAGATACCACTTTGTGCATCAATTGTTTTGTAATTTTTAAATAAAGTACAAATTTTGAAAAAAAAGATTTACATTTTGTGTGTGTGTGTCATTTTTAAAAACTTCATCCACAATCTAAATGTATAACGTATGCAAGACAAGCATAGCATGTTATGACAAATCTGTACTGTTTGCACTTTACATACACTTTGTAACCTATAATTAAGCTTCACACAGCAATGTCTTGGGCAGGGCAGAATTAAATGATGACAGAACTGTGGCTTGTCACTGTGTACTAATGAATCATTGCATCTTACACGGCGTGAGGAAACAGGAATTCTCGTGCATTCATGCACATATTTTTTAATCTAATTTAGTTTTTTGCTCATCAAGACCAGGTTAATCATGAATATCAGCTACACCGTGTTGCTATGATATATACAGAAAATGGGATACAGCGGGATATCTAAAACAAAAAAACAAAAAACAAATAATAGTGCAACACTGTTGAAGGAGGTTTGCAGTGGAACTCACAAATTACAGATGAAAAAACTCATCGAAGTTGCGGTCCCAGCCAGGGGAGGTCTGGTTACTCAGTCAGAATGACGCCTTTTGGATCCAAATCAGGAATCAGGTAGATAGGTATAAAATAATTTATTACAAACAAACTTGAATAAAATAAGTATATAAAAGTTGGTGGTATATAATCGGTCCTACGTGTTTCGTTTCAATGGAAACTTTCTCAGGGACCACTTTTTGTACAATTACATTTATAAAAACATCTAACAATAAAATGTCCTACCCTTCCCTTTACACCCTCTTCTTATGTAGGGATCTTCCTGATTTCCTCCGGTGTGTTCGTGGGAGTTTTCTTTTGATTCGCCAATCACTGAAGCTTGTTTCACCTCCCCACCGCTGCTTGTAATCTTCTCAATTGCCGCCCTGGATTTCTCCATATAACTGCTAAACTTCCGGCTTGCGTTCCACTCCGTCATTTCGTGCGTTCCAAATGTTCACTAAACTTTATTGTCCATACAATTTATATGTAGTGATGTCCCGAACGGTTCGCCGAACGGTTCGCCACGAACGGTTCGCCACGGACTCATCATTGAGTAAACTTTGACCCTGTACCTCACAGTCATCAGACACATTCCAGCCAATCAGCAGCAGACCCTCCCTCCCAGACCCTTCCACCTCCTGGACAGCATCCATTTTACTTTCATTGTGAAGCTGCATTCTTAGTGAGCTGTCCAGGAGGTGGGAGGGTCTGGGAGGTAGGGTCTGCTGCTGATTGGCTGGAATGTGTCTGCTGACTGTGAGGTACAGGGTCAAAGTTTACTCAATGATGAGTCCGTGGCGAAGCGTTCGTGGCGAACCATTCGCGAACCGTTCGGGACATCACTATATGTGTTATATGTTGAAGAATGATATACTAATACAAGTATTAATAATAATAATGTATAATATTCGGGACATCACAATTTATATGTTCACAAAGCAATCTCAGGATGGTTTATCGTTTTATCTATTAGAGAGAAGAAATTACTCAATAGCCAATATCCTCTATTCTTATTTCAAACCCTTTCATTTCTTGGGTACAAATTTGGATCAGTGCAGGCTATAATGTTGTACCCGATTTATTTTGTATACTCTTATTATTGTTTTGTTATAGTAGCCCCGTATGTCAAATCAAAATTCATGAAATAAAAACTTGTCCACTAAGGTTTCTATCAATTGTACATTAATATGTATAAATCTTTGTTCTTTTTGCAGAAACTAGGTGATGAATCATAAAAATAGACTCCTTATAATGGAGAAATATTTTCTCAAATGGGCAATAGAAATAGAAAAATATATTGAAAAATAAAATAAAATAAAACATGAAGATAGAAACTAAGTAAAAGAAAAAGAAAAAAGATAAAAAAAGTAAAAAAACATTTTTAACAAATAAATGTTAGTATAGAAATAAAAATAAATATAAATATAAAAATAAAATTAAAATAAAATTAACATTAACACTGTGTTGCTGGCAGCTAGCTAGAAGGGGAGCTCTACTTAATTAAGCCATGTCAAATGGCATACAACATGACATGACTATACTTTACTAGACCAGTAAACAAAATAGTCAATAGGATGAGAGATGATTATGTCAAGCTTATTCAGTTTAGAAAAATGTCTGTGTACATCCGTGTACACATAAAAAAATTATAAATGTTACACTCATAGAGAACGAATAGCCTTTATGTAATCTGACTATTATGTGAAACAAAAGTCACAACACCAATGGCAAAAATATAGACAGACATTGAAACATCTTGCCAGAAGGATACACATGTATCTACATGGTATAGCCACACCACCCAAGTCTCTTCTACCTCAACAAGGCCAATGGAAGACTTTAACAACAAATAAAGCCCTTGTCACTCTAGGTGAAAATACCTACCTTCCAATTTATTTTTCTCTCCTGAACCAAACAGGTATATGCTACATTATGGACCGCTTGCTACTTTATTAAATCCTAGAGTTAATAGATCAGTCCAAGCAGCATAACCAATTCAGTGTCCTGCATGGACACTAATCAAACCATTTTAGAACTTACTTGGGGTCCACTAAGTACCACTAAGTACCCTACCTGCGTCCATCAAATAGTCAGAATCTCCTGATTTAGGAGCTTGTATTAGCTTTCCTGAGCCATGTCTTAAAGAGCAGGGCTAGCTCATTGTCTGAGAGTATAAGGCTGGGAGCACAACTGGGATTAGCTCAGGCAGAAAATGTTGAGCTCTGTCAGATGTAGTGGAGGCAGGGAGCAGTTCCTGGAGAACGTCAGGTAAGAAGTCATACCGTTCTAAAAACAATTTGACTCCTTACAATGGGGGTCGCCAGGGCACAAAAAGCACAACAGTGCACTGTAGTGACTATAGTGCTTGGATTGTTCCTTAAACCTGTTCAGTAGGGCAGAATGTTGCAGGTGCTATCTGGGTATGAATTCTGACATAGATACATGTTTAGGAAAACACAAAATGTTTATCCACTGTTAATTCCATTTTTACATTAGAGGCAGTCTTAAAGTCTCCTTCCTGAACAGACAGCATTTATCCCTAAAAAATATATTCTAACTGATTAGCACCACCCTAGCTCCACCCCTCAAAGTTATAAACTACAGCCATTCCCAAAGATCCTGAGTACAAAACAAGACACTCCAATACTGCAATAATAATTTATAACAAAAGAATGGACGGAATATGTGTACTGCCTCTAATACTATGTTAAATGGAATGTTCGGGGAGTAAAAAATATTTTCTACAATAAGGAGAGCAGCAGGGACGTAACAATCCGCACTGAAGGTTGGGTCTTAGTTAACAATGGCTTGATGGCTTTTCACCTAAAAGAAGCATCTTCTGAAGACCACGTTGCAGCTCCACCTAAGCTGAAGCCTGGGACTACTAGACTGATTCCAAGAAATTAATAAGCTTTAGCAATGAAATATTGAATCCATCTTGCCATAGTAGATTTTGATGCAGCTTTTCCTTTATTTTATCCATTATACAGTACGAACAGGTGATTAGACTGTTAAAATTTAGTTCAGTCCAAAAAAATAAATCTGTAATAAAGGCCTCCGTGTAGGCCAAAACTTTGCATTTTTTGTTCCAATCAACCTGCCTTCCTGCAGAAATCCTGAGTGCCTGGACCTAATTTATTTTATCAAAAAAAATCTGTAAGGCACATTTTACATCCAATGTGTAATTTTTGTGGAAGGCTAGAGAACTTCCGACAAGAAGTTGGTAAGACAAAGACCTGATTTAAATTAGTAAGGTTAGAAACCTTAGGCTTAATTCAATAGAGGAGTGTCCTTTTTTTGCATGAAATACGAGATATGGAAACCTGGCACCAACGAGTGTAATTCTCTGAGCTGCTTGGCAGACATTATGGCTACTAAGAAGACTGTTTTGCCCCATTTGGCATGGTGTTATTCAGACTTAAGTGAATAAAGGAAGAGGACAGGCTAAATGGTAATACAGTATATTGAACTGGAAATTATTTATTTAATGTTTTGTCGTCTTTTCTTATAGCAAAACTTAGGAATTTTCTGTACCACTATAGGAATGTGTCCTTTGAAACTAAATATACTAGACAGGCCCCTTCTACCAAAAGTTGAGTTGCTGAGTGAATAGTTTCTATTCTGAATTTCTTGGTTAATACAAATTTCTTTCATCATTTCAGATCTAATATGGGACCTAATATGGGATTAAATGAGCCATCTGGCTTCACTTGAAAAAAAAATGATCAAGATCCTAGATATTCTTCTTTTTGGTATCTGTTTAATGACTTCTTTCCTTTTGAGATTTGAAACTACACTAAAGAGAGCTTTTCTTATGAACGTCTGAGGAGGAAGACTGTAGAATTCTATTTCGTAACTGCAGTGTATTGCTTTTTGTACCTATAGATCCTGTGTGGTGTCTTTCCAAGTGTTGAAGAAAAATGAGTCTCTCTCCTTCTGGCTTAGTGCCAGAACTTCTCTGAATAATTAGACTTGTAAGTCTTTTTCTTGTCTTTATTTCTGATTCAAATCTTTGCCTTCTATCAGTGCTGGAATATTTTTTTTTTGAATGGAAGAACCCTTCCATGGTCTGTTGGATTTTTTCCCCTTAGCCATAAATTTCTACAAATCATCTTATTATGACCCAAATAGGTGACCTTACTCAAAAGCCAAGTCACAGTGTGCAAACATAGAAAGTGCGTCAGCTGACCAGGTTTATAATCAAACAGCTCTCCTTCATATAGTTACAAGACCCACATTTGTTGCTTATAAGCAGAACTTGTATTTGTACCATCACATGTATCTTTTTCCAGAGCTTTTTCTAGTTTCTCCAAACTCTTGCATCAGAATGACCTGTGATAAGGCATTTACTCTGTGCTGCTTATTCTTGGAATGTTCTCCGTAATAAAGACTCCAATTTCTTATGCATAGTTTAACCCTTCAGAATAGATGCTTCCCTAGTAGAAATCAGGGCCGTCTATAATATGATTAGGACCCTGGGCAATGCATTTTCTTGGGCCCCCTGGGCCCTGCCCCTCCTGCCGCCTC